CAGTAGAGGGAAAGTTATAGTATTAAATGCCTGTATTAGAAAATTAAGTCTCAAATCATTCTAAGATTCCACATTACAAAACTATAAAAATTATAAAATATAGAGCAAATTAAACCCAGAGCAAACAGAAGGAAGGAAATGACACCAGTATAAAAACAGAGAAGAAACTGAGAACAAAATTATAGAGAAAAATAAAAGTCAATGAAACAGGAACTTAGATTTAGGGGAGGAAATGTTTTAAAAAAGGAAAAAAGGGCTACTTCTACAGATGCCACAGACATTAAAAGGATAATAAAGGAATACAAACAACTCGATGCTCATAAATCCAACAACTTAGAGAAGATGAACCAATTCCTTGAAAGGCACAAACCAAAGCTCACCCAAGAATAAATAAATGACCTGAAAAGTCCCACATCTATTAAGACAATTAAAAGTTTAGATTAAAACCGGGTTTGGTGGCTCAGCCTGTAATCCCGGGCTTTGGGAGGCTGAGGTGAGTGGATTGCCTGAGCCCAAGGGTTCAAGACCTGCCTGGGCAACTTGGCGAGACCTTATCTCTACAATAAATCAAAAAATTAGCCGGGCGTGGTAGCACGCACCTGTAGTTCCAGTTACTTGGAAGACTGAGGCTGAAGGGTCACTGGAGCCCAGCAAGTCGAGGCTGCAGTGGCATGCTCCTGCAGTGGCCGGGAGCATGCCACTGCACTCCAGTCTGAGCGACAGAGTGAGACTCCAACTCAAAAAAAAAAAAAATTTTAGTTTAAAATCTTCCATCAAAGAAACCACCAATGCCTAAATGGTTATCCTGGTAAATGCTACCACATATTTTTAAGGAGGAAATATTACCAAATCTAAACTCTTTCCAAATGTAGAATAGGAAAGAACTCTTTCCAGTTTATTTAATAAGGCCAGTGTTAACCTGATACCAAAACCAAACAAAGGTATTGAAAGAAAGTGGAGAACATCTCTTAAGACTATAGATATAAAGATCCTAAAAACAAACAAACAATATCTAGGAAATAAAAACCTAACAATATAAAAAAAAGTAATACATCAAAACTAAATAGGGTTTATCCCAGGAAACCAAAGCTGATTCAACATTTGAAAATTAATGCAACTAGTCATTTCAACAGAATTTTTTTTTAACTATAATCAACTCAATAGATGCAGAAAGTCTTTGATAAAATACACCATCCATTCATGACTTAAAATTCTCAGCAAACCAGAAACAGAAGGGAAATTCTCAACCTAATAAAGAGTACTTACAAAAACCCCCCTCATGCTTAATGACGAATACTTTCTCTCTAAGACCATAAACAAGGCAAAGATATTCACTCAGCATTGTACTGGAAGTGCTAGTCAGTGAAATTGGGCAAAATAAAAACAAAAACCAAGACATACAGATTGGAAAGAATGAAATAAAACTATTTCTATTCATAGAAAATAGGATGGTCCATGTAGAAAATCCCAGAGGTCCTATTACAGTCTTATCACAAATTCAATAATCTTAATTTAGCAAAAATGTTAAAGAAAAAATTAAAGATTAAAAAGATTAGATAGAAATCTTATCCCAAATTTGAGGAATTTAAAAATAAGTTAGAAGAACATATCAGTCTAGATATAATCAAACTATTTTAATATTTCTTTTAAGGCTCAATAAAATTTAGAAATTGTTTCATATGTAAATAAATGGATGAGACATACTATATGAGTTAATCAAGAAGCCACTGATTGCAGTACTTTAAAACAAGAAATAACATTTAAGTAAAAAAAATTTTAATTCTACTGCAGAATGTAGTATCTTAAAATACCTCAATATAATTTCCTTATCATTAAATGACAATCACACACAACAGTAAGAAAAATGCTATTCATTATGTTTATCAAAAAGCATAAAGATATATTAGTGACTCTCAGATGGACATGTTTTATAATTTCTATTTTCTTGGATATAGGGTACCTAATGAATTAATACTATGAACTACTCATCTAATATTCAAATAAATTAAAAAGTAACAAGTTGAATTTTTTTTTCCTTTCCTTTTTTTTTTTTGAGTAGGAGTCTTACTCTGTTGTCCAGGCCGGAGTGCAGTGGCATGCTCACAGCCACCACAACCTCGACCTGCTGGGCTCAGGTGGTCCTTCTGCCTCAACCTTTCAAGTAACTGGAATCACAGGTATGCGCCACCGCATCCAGCTAATTTTTTGATTGTAGAGACAAGGTCTCACCAAGTTACCCAGACTGGTCTCAAACCCCTGGACTCAGGCAGTCCTCTCGCTTCCATCTCCCAAAGTGCTGGAATTACAAACATGAGTCACTGCGCATGGCAAGTTGATATTCTAAAATATTTTGTAAAAGATAAAATTACTTTAAACCCAATACTGCACATTATTCAAAAGTCATCAAATGTAGACTGTATAGATTTAAATTTTCTCATATGCAAAACTGTCATTCCAAAAACTTATTATTTAAAGTTTTATTCAAGAATGCATACTACTTATTTTTAAGTTCACAATATACATAAGTATTTTGGCAGCAAAAATTTGTCAGCAAACTGGCTTTTCCGTGATAAATTTTAACTATTTCTGACTTTGCTTTATGAACCCAAATTTAAATAATGGCAGAAAACAACTGCCAATATGGGACGTCAATGTTTCCATTTTCTAATGTACTCTATTTTGATGGTGATTCACCTTAACACAAGGAAAAAAACAAGCCCTAAGAGTGTTCCCTATACTGTAAAACAAATAAGAATAAATATGTCAACTTAGAATAACAAACCCGTATCTCCCAATGTTCCTCATATTAAGATAAGAAAACAAGTTGTAATCATTAAGATTAAAATATCACAGACCATGTGGATCTAGCATTTTTATATGCAAAAAACTCAAAGAAAAAATTCTAAGTTGTATATAGGTACAAATGGTACTTGTACAATTAAAGTGACACTAATATTAAAAGAAAATGCATCATCATATACAAAAGTACACAAAAAACCTGCCATAAAAACAGTATAATAAACACAAGTAACTGGGGAGTTTTCATTTTAATAATACAAATTGCAAAATTAGTCCATGAAAGCTAAGAAGGGTACTTATAGTCCAAAAAGAGTACCCAAAGTTTATATATAGATTTAGACTAAGGAGAACCTAATATATCCTTTATATGACATAAATCAATCTCTTTAAAAAAAACATAATGATTAAAAGCCAAAGTGATACAGACTGTCTGGGTTTGAATTCCAACTCTACGTTTTACTAACTCTATATAGGAAATTGGGACACATATTATCCTTCATATCATCTGTAAACTGGGGATAACCTTCATGGTGCTTTGTTTGGTTATTTTGTTTTGATTTCATAATCGTAAACATAACTGCCTTCTGGCTAGTTGGGGGGGAGGATAAGAAAAATATGGAACCCAAAGAACTGCAGCAAGAGCACGAAGAGCATAGGATATTGTGAACAAATGGGGATGGAGAGGTATTATATAGAGCTACAGAAGGAATGGTCTGGTGGACAACATAAAACAAATATTAAATTGATTAGAGTTGTCCACAGTTGGCAATGGTGATCTTCTCACTTATCCTGCCATTCCTGAACCCAAAGCACTCCATGGCTTCCACAACAGTCTTACCTCCTTTCACCCTGCCAAAGACAGAGCTTGCCATCCTATCACTCAGTCTTTGAACTGCAGATGAAACCCTGGGAACCATTTGTGTTGGGTCCAGCATTTGCCATGCACAAGACGCCAGGACCTACATACTTCAGGATGAAGTTCTCATCATCAAATGTCCTATAGATGGACTTACCACTAGTGCCATTATGGTGTGAAGTCACCACATTGGCACATAAGCCTTGGAATGATTCTGTGAAAGTAGGAACCCTTGCAACCAAATTCTTTTTCTCCATTGCTCAGAGCATGAAAGTTTTCTGCTGTCTTTGAAACTCTGCCTGCAAACAGCTTGAAGGAGACACCACCCACGAGTTAATGTCTTGACAGATATGTCAAAGAACACAGTGGGGCTGACCATGGCTAACAGGAGCCTCCAGCCAGGGGAGACAACTGCAAAGCCATAGTGTTATTATAAGGATTAAGTGAGTTAAAAATCTCTGATACATAAGAAGAAAATATAAAAGAACTATTATTCTAGACATTTTTTAAAAATAATTTTTTACATCTGACTCTTTACAATATCCCTGGTTTTATAAGACACAAAATACAAGAAAATCTGAGAAGGAAATAACGTAATAATCCTTGGTGTTTTTATATAAATTTCTGTTGACACTCTTGTAAAAACTATTCTTCTCCCCCTCAAAGGAATTAAAGAGCATTATTAAAATATTCTTGTCAACTGGGCTCGGTGGCTCAGCCTGTAATCCCGCACCTTTGGGAGGCTGAGGTGAGTGGATTGCCTGAGCCCGCGGGCTCAAGACCCGCCTGGGCAGACGAGACCTCATCTCTACAATCAAATCAAAAAATTAGCTGGGCGTGGTAGTGCACGCCTGTAATTCCGGCTACGCGGAAGGCTGAGGCGGAAGGATCGCCCGAGCCCAGCAGGTCGAGGCTGCGGTGGCCAGGAGCGGCCACTGCACTCCAGTCTGGGCAACCGAGTGAGACTCCAACTCAAAAAAAAAAAATAATAATAAAATAAAATGAAATAAAATATTCTTATCTCAAAAAAATAAGCTCCCTCAAGGTTTCCCTTTATCAAACGTAAATCCTAGCTGCTCTGTTGAGATGTTTTTTAATTCAATTAAGTTCAGATATAAAGAATGCTCCTAAATGTTAAGTCTGTGTCAGGATTTAATCACCTTAAAATCATCCACATTTTCTAAGTGCATACTAGCTAGAATACTTTTTCTCCCATTACCAGTTTCACCATGTATCTAGCAAGGAAATCTTGGATTATGTAACACAAATTACTTGCCTTGTAAAAAACAGTGTTTATTCCATGTGTAAAGTTCAGTGAGTGGTCTTCAGATAGATCAAGAGAAAGTAAATATAATATCCATATAGTTGTTTAAGCTTTATTTTTATATGCAAGAATGGTTCGAGGAAACAAAAAATTCAAGATACAGAATACAACATATCCAGAATTATAAAATAATCCAGAATTATTTTAATGTGTACACAGATAACAATATAAAGTACATATATAGGATATAATTTGTTTTGAGGTTTGAAAAACAGTGATTTGGTTTTTAAATTATAACAATATCTATTTTAACATTCAAGTAACATATACTTTTAAAAGTTAGACTTTTAAAAATAATAACTAAATTAGAAAGTAACTAACTCTAAGACAATCTGCCTTTACCACGATCTTCAAAATAGTGCTGTTCAATTCTTCTACAGAAAGCAAGGAGGTTGCTATAGTTTTTCACCTTCTCAGAAAGTTCATCATTGGTCAATTGTGTGGTAAGAATGGTGTAGAGATGGCCAAATACCAGTGCATCAAGTTCAGTAGGCCTAAAACAAAAGTGGAAATGAGAGTATCGTGAACAGCATTTAACTTTTATGGTAGAAAATAGAGTCGGTTCTCTGCCCCCACAGAGCCAACACTCATGAGCTCAAGCAACCTTGGGTCAAAATATTTTTTAAAATAACAATACAACAATGAAAATAACACAAATTTTAAAACAATACAGTGTAACAACTACTTACATATCATTTGCATTGTATGTAATAGGCATTATAAATAATCTAGAGATGTTATAAAGTATACAGGAGGATACACCATAGGTTATATGAAAGTACTATGTATGCCATTTTATGAGACAAAAGTATCTGAATGACAAGAGACAACTATATACTAGTTTAAGAAACATCTTATTCATCTAAAAGAAAAAAGCCATATGAGAAATAAATTCTACCACAATTTGACAGGATTTATTGTCTTCACTTAGAGATTCTATTTTTTAAAAATGTATTTTAAAGTATGATTTGCTAGTTGTGTGACCTCCTTTCTAAAGTAATCATAATATTTAAATGCATTAAAATAATATGGATGTAACAGATCATATTCATTTTATTAATTACTTTATTCACTAAACAAATATAGCAGGAACTATACCAGATGATAGAGATATAAAAACAAGAAAAATAATCTAAGAGATGGGCACAAAACATAAACTACCACCAAACAATTTATCCAATGCTTTAATAGATGTATAAACAACATGCTGTCAAAGCACAGAGAATTTTACTGCAGTACTGGGACCAAAAACTGATATCCAATGACCCAATCGTACATCAACAATGTGATATAACTTTAATTTTACTACCTGTAAAGTGACTTGGATTTCTGAAAGACACATAACGATAAAGATGGCCTCAACATAAAATTTTCTAGGGTTTTTTCATCTTTAATTATATATTACTAACAACAAAGTGAAATTTACCCCACTACTAATGATCTATACATGGGGTATCACTGATCTACATTATATATCAAAATAATTACTAATGCAGTATTACTGAAAGGAGAAAATAACATCATAATTACAGGGATAAAGTTTTGAGAAAACATGATAACCCACCTAAATACTCTGATTTGGCAGAACTGATTTTAGGGTCAGTCAAATCTAAATTTGAATCCCAATTCTGTCACTTACTGTCTATGTAGCCTAGATCATTATTGATGAATAATCTCTTGGAGTTTCACAGCTTTAAATGCAATCTTCACACCACACAACAAAATTCTAGTATTGATGAGAGGTTGCATTCAGCTTCAGTAAATTTTGGGGGGAGAGTCTTTCAACACGTTTGCCCATTTCATAATGGGTGATTTACAGGCACACCTGCCCACATGTGTAGAATGTTAAACAGTTTATTGACTAAAAACGGTGTGATCCCTGTACCCCACCCTCCCTATTCACCCAATTTTACCCTGAGCAACTTCTTTTGTTTCCCTGGATGAAAGAAGTCCTCAAAAAGAAACGTTTTACCAATATGGAAGAGGTGAAACCAAAAACAGCAGAAGCACTAAAAGGCATCAAAATTGATGAGCTCGAAAACTTCTGAGCAGTGGAAAAGTATTTGGATAGGTGCACTGCATCAGAGAGTGTTTTGAAGGTGACTGAAGTTTAAACATAAATTCTGGGTTTTTGAGAGTTCCCCCTTGTATTTCTCTGGTCTTAGTCTCTCCCTGAGCTATATTCATACTTCAAATAACTACATAACATCTCCACTTCAATGTTAAATAAATATCTCAAAATTGCTTGTACCTCAATCTTCTCATAATAAAAGGCACCACTATCCACCCAGCTGTTAAAATCTAGGGGTTAGCCTTGACTCCTCTCTTTCTCTTACCCACCCTTATCCATTAGCAAGTCTGGTAAGACACTAGCTCCAAAATATGCCCTGAATGCCACAACATCTTTCTCTCTCATGATTATCTCCTAGTGTAAGCTACCATTCATTTCTCACCTAGACCACTGTAATAGTTTCATAATGTCTTCCTCCTTCTACTCATTGTCCACACCACAGTCAGAATGACTCTTTATTTAATGTCACCAGATCATATGACTCCAAGCACAAAATATTCCAATGGATTTCCATTCCCCTTACACTAAAATGCCCATCTCCTTGCCCTAAGCATACAAAGCCTAGATGATCTGGCCTACCTCTTCAGGGGGATCTACAATTATCAGCACACAATTCAAACTGGCCTTGCTTCTTTCATTTGAACAAAACAAACTCAAGCCAATCTTGGGACCTTGACACCAACATTCTTGTTACGTAAAATACCCTGACTTCAAATTGCTGGCTCCTTAATTTTTCAGAAAAAGGTTTAAATTTACCTTTTGCCTTTTTTTTTTTGACTCAGGTTCTCATCCTGTCACCCAGGCTGGAGGGCAGTGACACAATCATGACCCACCACAGCCTCGAACTCCTGAGTTCAGGCAGTCCTTCCACTTCAGTCTTCTGAGTAGCTGGGACTACAGATGTGCTCTGTCACACCTGGCCAATGTTTTTATTTTTTGTAGAGCTGAGATCTCACTATGTTGCCTTGGTTGGTCTTGAACTCCTGGCCTCATGCAATCCTCCCTCCTAGTCTACCAAAGTGCTGGGATTAAGGTGTGAAATACCACACCAGGCCAAATGTCACATATTAAAGTCTCCCCTGATCACCCAAACTAAAATGAACATGCAGTCATTTACTATCATGAGGTATTTTTTTCATTCTATATGTGGTATTTAATACCAACTGCTTCCTGTGCTTCTTTTCTATCAGAAAGTTCTAGGAGAGAAAGGACCTTCTTTACTTGTTTCTTGCTATATCCCCAATATGTAGAACAATGTCTGGCACAAAGTAGGTTCTCAAAAACATATGGTGAATGAATAATAAAAAGATGATATATTTCTTATACCACACTATAACTGTTTGCTTAACTGTTTCTCTCAATATACTCCCAGCTCTTTAAAGGCAACACTGCATGTGTCTTTAGATATCCAGTACTTAGCACAGTATATAAGAAACTGAAACGGTATTTGCTGAACAAATGAAACAAAAAATAAAGCATCCCAAGGTGTGTAGGTTATTTAATTTTCTCAATAGTACTTATTTACATGTTTTCAAAGTGTCCCTTCTTTTGACATATTCATGAAGTATTAATCAAAGTCAAATGTGCAGTTGGTCTATGGTCATGTTTAAAAGAGTAGCCAACAGTGTAAATTTAAAACAAGTATCTCAAGTGTCCTGGGATTCAACTGCACCACAATCTTTCCATCACAGATGACTCAATAACAAATGGATCCCTGGAAAGAGCCAAGGCACTGTGAGGCACATTGTGAGAAGTAATATAAACACCATTTGTTCCGCATCCCTAAACATATTTCTTTTTTTTTTTTTTTTGAGTTGGAGTCTCACTCTGTCGCCCAGACTGGAGTGCAGTGGCTGCCCCCGGCCACTGCAGCCTCGACCAACTGAGCTCCGGTGATCCTTCCGCCTCAGCCTTCCAAGTAGCTGGAACTACTGGCGCACACTACCACACCCGGCTAATTTTTTGATTTATTGTAGAGGTGAGGTCTCATCAAGTTGCCCAGGCAGGTCTCGAACCCGCGGGCTCTGGCAATCCACTCACCTCCTAAGGCGCGGGATTACAGGCTGAGCCACCGAGCCCGGCTCTAAACATATTTCTTTAAAGATACATCTTATTTTATAGGACTTATTTTCCAAAACCTAGTTTAGTGCCAACTACCCTTTGCTTCTTGTACTAGAGCCTAAAACAGGTGAATATACATTCCCTGATGCAACTTCCAGTAGTGCAGATGAGCATCCTTTATCAATAAATGAAGGCTCTGAAAGAGTTCAAGTCTGAATTCAGAAGTACCCCCTGAAGTGGTCAAAATGTTATTTGCTGCAAGTATACATCCACATAACTCCAAAGGTATTGAATTATATATGGGTATAAGCATATAAAAATTGATCTGATGTTACATAAAGACAGCAACTTTGTGGCAAGATATTTTTGAACATCAACAGGAAGTAGAATTCAATAGATTAGCTGGGCTCAGTGGCTCAGCCTGTAATCCCGCGCTTTAGGAGGCTGAGGTGAGTGGATTGCCTGAGCCCACGGGTTCGAGCCCCCCTGGGCAACTTGGCGAGACCACATCTCTACAATAAATCAAAAAATCAGCCGGGCGTGGTAGCGCATGCCTATAATTCCGGTTACTCGGAAGGCTGAGGCAGAAGGATCGCCGGAGCCTAGCAGGTCGAGGCTGGCCACTGCACTCCAGTCTGGGCGACAGAATGAGACTCCAACTCAAAAAAAAAAAAAAAAAAAAAAAAAAAAAAAGAATTCAATAGATTAAATCAAACAAAGCACGTAGAGTCACGTGCTGCTTAACAACGGAAATAGGTTCTGAGAAATGCATTATTGGGCAATTTCATCACTGTATGAACCCTACAGAGTGTACTTACACAAATCTAGATGGTATAGCCTACTTCACACCCAGACTATATGGTATAACCTATTATTGTTCCTAGGCTACAAACCTGCCCAGCATGTCACTGTAGTTAATACTTTATAGGCAACTGTAACACAATACTTGTGTATCTAAACAAAAAATACAGTAAAAATACAGTATTATAATTTTAAGGAACCACCATTATATATGCAGTCCATCACAGACTAGAATATTATTATGCAGTGCGTGACTGTGTGTGTGTGTGTGCATGTATAAACACACATATGCACATACATATACATATATATGCATACTTTTAAAGTATATTTTCTGTAATCTGTACAAATTCCCCTTATATTAATTGACTGACATATATAAATGACTAATTTCAACAATGTTTTTATAAAAAGTACACCTATGGTAGTGGTTATACAACTGTATGTCTTTGTTAAAACTCACAGAACTATATACATAAAAGTTCAATTTTATTACATGTAAATTACACATGAATAAACCTGACTTAAAAAAAGACAATCAATAAATTCAGAAAAATATTTGCAACTTTTATGAAAGGACGAAAAAATACACTTTACTCACTATTTCTACTGGTTTGTTTAATCATGATTTTCAATGTAAGTCCAGTTTTAATTATTTTGCTATACCATAAGAAAAAAACATAATACACCCCTCTGCTTACCAGTTTCTGAATTATCATTTGACTACAGAGAGCAACTCCCCTCCTCAGAGCTATAAGACATTTCATTTATATTGTTGCATTTATCTTTATAGACTTTATATTAGAAAAATACTCCAAGGTAACAAATATACTTTTAAAAATCCTAAGAAACTTGATACCTTCTTATCTTGCATTATTATTCTTTTCACATTTCTGTTGGTTTTCTATTGTTCTTTCATTAGAATATCAAAATAAAAACAGTACTGTAAAATGTCAACATTTTCCTAAACTTTTCCACTTAAAATTTTTCGGGCATTCATCTTTTTTGCTTTGTGTACTTATAGTTTCATTTTTCTTTCTTTCTGATACCTGTTACAGTATCATCTAGTTTCAAAAACATTAATTTTGTCTGGGTGTTTCCTAATTTTTCCTTCTCAATATATTGTAACTTGTTGTTTCTTCATACTACTAGAAATAATCTACATATCCTTTCTTTACATACCAATCACTGATCTTTAGGATTGTCACTCAATTTGTAAATCAAGTCCTTTGCTTTTTTATCCACTTTTCCCAGTTATTATTCTTCTTGTGAGACCTCTTATCCTTTTCCTTTCTCTCATCAAGCAGAGACATTTGGTTTCTTCATGAATCCTTAACATCCCCAGTAGGTAAACTAGGAGGAAAGTTAATTCTAATTTTAGGGGATAAGAGGAGGGAAGATACAGAGAGAAATTAAAGTAACTTGCCTAAGTCTGGGGTATGACAGAGCCAAGAATAACATTCAGGGTGTCTGCCTTGGGAGTTCAATACCATATATCTTGACTTAAGCCAGAGCGCTATTCACTAAGGTATAGTTTCTCACAGTGTAATGACTCCTGCTATAGATAAATAAACGAGGAAAATTTTGTCACAAAGTAAAAATACAAGTTACTTTTTCCCTAAATATCCTTTATTTGCACTTAATATTAATTGACTGAGTAAAATTAAAAACTCTATCGATTCGAGTCTTCTATCATAATTATTTGTTAAGAGAAAATATCCAAGTATCATGTAAGGCAAAATTATTTCAAAAACCTACATCTTAATATCAATTAAACAGTTCCTCAAAAGTAAGCCTTTGGTTTTTAAACTGTTCTAAATTAGAATTTTTCATTACAAGTTTAAATATATAACTATGCCCTTACAAAGAAAAATGGTATCTTACTATTTTCACCGAGTCACACATCAAATGATCCATGGTAACTAACACACTGATAATGAGTTTGAGAAGAAAAATAAGTTAGATCTATTTTCCTGGCTTCCCCTAAAGACAGTGTACATAACAAACTAACTCATAAAGCAGGAAAATGCTCTTCAAACAACAAAACACACCCTTTCTGAGCTTTTCAACTCCAAGAAAGAATTACATACTACTAACATTAATTTTGTGTTAAGGACTAAACATAGGATCTGCATAGCAAATATCACTAGAAACAGGAACAGAGTTGTAGAGGCTTTATCACCAGAATTTTATAGTTTGAGCTCTGTGATCTTTCTGCATCAAAGATCCTAAATTTTATTTTAACATCAGCTATATATAGTACACATTACTTGTGTTATAGAGTAATATATCTTAAATATCTCCAAGCTATCATCAGTCATTTTTACTACAAATATTATCTTTACCAGAAAAAGTTTAATATGACTATAGAAGATGATGTGCTTTACTAATATTTTCATTAACATTTAGAAGATAAGTTAATAACAGTGCTGGTTCTGTCTATCCAACGGTGTATTTTTTATTGCTTGATTTTATTGTTTTTTTAATCCCTAAGATATCATGCTTTATATATATATAAAACTGTAGTTTTATATCCCTAAGATATCATGCTTTATATATATATAAAACTACAGTTGCACTAAAAGTATCTTCATGTTTTATAATTTACAAGTTTAGAATTCTGTTAAGATTTTGTAGTTCCATATACAGTACCTTGAACAACCTCTATTAGAGCCTTTATCGTATCATACAATAATGACTGCTTTACATGACTGCCCTTAAGATAAATTCTTAATGACAAGGACCACATTTTAGAAATCTTAGTTTCCCAGAGCCCAGCACTGTGCCTGATAGCCAAGAAGAGATAAATAAATGTATAATGAGTATACAAATATTTTATATATCTAAATATTTATTTAAAAAATAATTCCTTTATAATAAAAGAAATTTTCAACAGACAAGAAACAAAAAATAAATAAATAAATTCTTACTGCTTATTGAAGAAATACGGTTGTGTTCCCAGTCTTTGAGAGAGCGCTTGACAGCACTGGTCTACATCTTCTAAGACCTAACATAAGTAATGGACCCCAAAGAAAAATGCTTAAATTAGCAAAATAATAAAAAGTATCTAAAACTTATATGTATAACAGTTTATTAAAAAAACATAAATTTAGGCTAACCTTTTATAATATATTTAAATCAGACTACAGACCACATATATCATACTTTCTATATGAGCAACAGAAAGAAAATCTGACAGTGAATTTCCTTTAAACAAAAGTACATTTAAGAATTTTGTCAAGAACAAAACTGTTTTCCTGAATCCATATATTAAAATAACTCTGCATATATAAAAAAAATCTGCTCATAAAGATGACATTGCTGACCCACCATGAGTAAAGGCATTTCAGTGATTTCCCAACTAGTGGAGATGGATTTTATTTACTCCATCCCTATTCATTTACTTAATCCCCCTTGTGACCAAAAGCACATGTCAGAGAGATGACTGGCTAGGATTAAAGGTAGCCTTGGAAAAGACAGACATTAACTAACTTAATGATGATTATGGACAAGCATTTTTAAATTTTGCTACTTTAGTAAATTCAAGACCAAAGAAAAGTAGATATATTAAATACTACTTTATTTAATAGAATGTTTTTTAAGTCCTGATATTGCAGATCTGTATTTATTGACCTAAATGATGCCCACAATATACTGTTCAAGAGAAAGCAAAAATCAAATTATAGACTGGCAGGCATAATATAATCCCATTTAAGAAATGTTACTAGCCGGGCTCGGTGGCTCAGCCTGTAATCCTGCGCCTGTGGGAGGCTGGGGTGAGTGGATTGCCTGAGCCCGTGGGTTCAAGACCCACCTGGGCAGGC